TTGGTCCCAAGCAAACGATTAACGTACCCTATTCTAGCCGAAATTCTAGTACTACGCAATGTTTGTTTTGATTCGCTATGAAAATTTGACAGATAAAATGAGGGGTTATTGGTTTTTCCTATGTTTCGAGGGGTGATTCGACAAGCTTGGGACCGAAGAGAGTACCAGAGCTGAGCGAAAAAGTGGAGCACGTTATTTCGGGACCTTCTGGTCTTAGAGTTACCTCTATGCTAATAGCACAAACGAAGTGACAGACGACTAACTGGCAAAGAAATCCATTTAAATAATGTGGTTCACTGTAATAGAATTTTCTTGGAAGCTTATGCCATCATCCACCAGATGGGTTAGTTTTTTTGTTTTGATTTGAACAAAGTTGATTTTGTGTACAATGATTCTTTGACAGTGTGCAAAGAATGCGTATCATTTTGTCATTTTTTTTATGCATTTCAGTTTTGAGTAGAGTGAAAGAGATAGAACCAAAACATTCTAGTACATTTGGTGAAAATGCTAGTTCAATCTAGTAGCAGTGTTGCCATGTGGTACAATCCAGTAGTAGTGGTGTTGCCATGTGGTACACTAAAAAAATGCAATAGCAGATGCGTCACCAAAGTTTTCGAGCTGCTCCGTCTGTCACTTCGTTTGTGCTAATAGTACGTTTAGACTACAGAGTTATAACATAGAGGTAAATCTAAGACTATAGAAGGTCCCGCAATAACGTGCTCAACTTTTTGGCTCAGCTCTGGTAATCTCTTCGGTCCCAAGCTAATCGATTCACCCCTCGAAACAAACTTTCATAGCGAATGAAAACAAACATTGTGTAGTAGTAGAATTTCGACTAGAATGGGGTACGTTAATCGTTTGCTTGGGACCAATAGGCTAGTCAAGTAGAGAGCCAATTTAAAATCGTTAGTTTCGTATTGATTGTTGTTATAACTCTGTAGTCTGAACGTACTATCAGACTACAGAGTTATAACAACAATCAATACGAAACTAACGATTTTAAATTGGCTCACTACTTGACTAGCCTATTGGTCCCAAGCAAACGATTAACGTACCCCATTCTAGTCGAAATTCTAGTACTACGCAATGTTTGTTTTGATTTGCTATGAAAGTTTGACAGATTAAATGAGGGGTTATTGGTTTTTCCTATGTTTCGAGGGGTGAATCGATTAGCTTGGGACCGAAGATAGTACCAGAGCTGAGCCAAAAAGTTGAGCACGTTATTTCGGGACCTTCTAGTCTTATAGTACGTTCAGACTACAGAGTTATAACATGTTATAGCGCTATCTTGATGGTGGTTTCTGTGTTGCAATTATTTGACAACCGTTATAACATGTTACAACTCTCCAGTCTGGACAGCGTTTTAAACGCTGTCCAGACTGGAGAGTTATAACATGTTATAACGGTTGTCAACTAATTGCAACACAGAAACCACCATCAAGATAGCACTATAACATGTTATAACTCTGTAGTCTGAACGTACTATTAGAGTTACCTCTATGGTTATAACATGTTATAGCGCTATCTTGATGGTAGTTTCTGTGTTGCAATTATTTGACTAGTGTGACCTTTCAGAGTTTCAGATGCCGCCTGAAAAAAAAACGGCCCACCGCCTTGAGATCATCATTTGAAGACTGTATGTTTTTATATAAAGGGTGATACGGTCAAAATTTGGTCAATATCAACTTGACGTATTTCTTTCAATTTTGCATTTAAAAAACCTGAACACCCCTCATTTTGAAGGTGTGTGTGTAGAATGTTGCTCCTATTTTGATTTTGGAATTCACTCTTCAGTTGTCAAAATGCCGTCCAAGCAAGAAGAGCAGCGTATCAAAATTTTGCTCGCGCATCGCGAAAATCTGAGCTACTCGCACGCAAAGTTGGCAAAATCGCTAAAAGTTGCCAAATCAACCGTTACAAATGTAATTAAAGTGTTTGGGGAACGTTTGTCGACAGCCAGGAAGTCTGGATCGGGGGGAAATCGAAAACCGGAAGCCGCTGAGACGACAAAGAGAGTTGCCGGTAGTTTCAAGCGAAACCCTAACCTCTCTATCCGAGATGCCGCAAATAAGCTGGGTGTATCGTCTACAACCGTGAATCGAGCCAAAAAACGAGCCGGACTATCGACTTACAAGAAGGTAGTGACTCCAAATCGCGATGATAAACAAAATACGACGGCCAAAGCGCGATCCCGGAGGCTGTACACGACGATGCCGACGAAGTTTGACTGCGTGGTAATGGACGACGAAACCTACGTCAAAGCCGACTACAAGCAGCTTCCGGGACAGGAGTTTTATACGGCAAAAGGAAGGGGAAAGGTAGCAGATGTTTTCAAGCACATGAAACTGTCAAAGTTCGCAAAGAAATATCTGGTTTGGCAAGCCATCTGTACCTGTGGCTTGAAAAGCAGCATTTTCATAGCTTCCGGGACTGTCAACCAAGAAATTTACGTGAAAGAGTGTTTGAATAAACGTCTGCTGCCTTTCCTGAAGAAACACGGTTGTTCCGTACTGTTTTGGCCGAATTTGGCATCTTGCCATTACGGTAAAAAGGCCATGGAGTGGTACGCCGCCAACAACGTGCAGGTGGTTCCCAAGGACAAGAACCCTCCCAACACGCCAGAGCTCCGCCCAATTGAGAAATACTGGGCTATTGTCAAGCGGAACCTAAAGAAGACCAAAAAAACTGCTAAGGGCGAGCAGCAGTTCAAGGCAAACTGGCTTTCTGCGGCGAAGAAGGTGGACAAGGTGGCTGTACAAAATCTGATGGCAGGGGTCAAGCGTAAGGCCCGGCAATTCGGATTTGGAAAAGCGGAAGCCTAACTGAATATTTTTCCTGAATTTTATACTAATTGAACTTGAAAAAGAAATTTAATTTGATTTTTTAAATAAACGATTTCACCGATTTACACGCGTTTTCCTTTGACCAAATTTTGACCGTATCACCCTTTATATAGGGGAAATTGATGTAATGAGTCCTACATGCCCCTAATTTGGGCCCATACATAAATTCAGCAATCGACTAAATTTTCAATTGGCAAATCAAAGTTAGCACTCGTGGAGAATAGAAGAACTATGAAAGTGATGATGGTTTCAAAATTTTCCACGGGAGGTATACGAGTGCAATCTTAAAATGCTTTTATTTTGCAAATGAAGCATTTTATTTAAATCTGGTTGCTGCTGCAGTTGTAGAAAAGCTGAAATCTATGTATACACCTAAAAATCTGAAAAGAAATTATTATTTTTATATTGAGTAGTCCTCCAGTTTTCTACTAACGTAGCACTAACCAGATTTAAATAAAATGCTTCATTTGCAAAATAAAAGCATTTTAAAATTGCACTCGTATACCTCTCAGTGGAAAATTTTGAAACCATCATCACTTTCATAGTTCGTCTATTCTCCACGAGTGTCAACTTTGATTTTCCAATAGCGACCAAATATATCCATTAGTACCGATCCAATGACGCGTTCATCTAGATAAAATTGATAAATACTCGATTAATTTTTCGAAGGGACGTATCAGCTTTTGTAAACAATGCATTTGATCGTCGATTTGGCGTAACTGGTAGCTCGTCCACGCATACTATCATTACTATCAGGTAGGGTCAAGTTTCTCCTATCTAATGGTAGTGTTAGTATGCGTGGTCAAGCTACCAGCTACGACAAATTCTTCTCTGTACACAGCGTAAATATTTACGATTTGTTTACAAAACTTAGGTAATGATGACAGATCCTGACGCAGTAGGTCCAACAATAAATACGAAACTAACGATTTTAAATTAGCTCACTACTTGACTAGCCTATTGGTCCCAAGCAAACATTTAACGTACCCCATTATAGTCGAAATTCTAGTACTACACAATGTTTGTTTTGATTCGTTATGATAGATTGACAGATAAAATGAGGGGTTAGTGGATTTTCCTATGTTTCGAGGGTTGAATCGTTTATCTTGGGACCGAAGACAGTACCAGAGCTGAGCTAAAAAGTTGAGCACGTTTCTTCGGGACCTTCTAGTCTTAGAGTTACCTCTATGGTAGGTCTCTTTTTCTAATGCGCGTTGTTTTCAAAGATCAAAATGTCATGATTACTTGAAATTTGTCAATCATGTAAATATTTACACGTCGTGTATTGGCAAATCAAAGTTGGCACTCGTGGAGAATAGAAGAACTATGAGAGTGATGATGGTTTCAAAATTTTACACGGGGAGGTATACGAGTGCAATCTTAAAATGCTTTTATTTTGCAAATGGAGCATTTTATTTAAATCTGATTAATGCACATATAATATAGAAAAAATAATATCTTTTCAGATTTTTATGTGTGGACATACACACCAAAAAATTCTGAATTTGACTGGCGATGTAAACATCCATGCATGCAAAAATCATACATGTAAACTTCCTTTTCACGTAAACTAGCAGCTTGCAAGAAATTTTGCAAACAAAAGTGGACACTTGCATACAATATATGGAATATTGCATGACATGTCTCATTAATTTACATGATCTATAATCTAAACTTGTATGATATATGACGCTCCATTTATGTGAATCATAGTAACGGTAATTTACACTACTTTTTTTAGCTGTGTAGATTTCAGCTTTTCTACAACTGCAGCAGCAACCAGATTTAAATAAAATGCTCCATTTGCAAAATAAAAGCTATTTAAGATTGCACTCGTATACCTCCCCGTGTAAAATTTTGAAACCATCATCACTCTCATAGTTCTTCTATTCTCCACGAGTGCCAACTTTGATTTGCCAATTGAAAAATTGACAATCAAATGCATTGTTTACAAAAGGTGGTACATCCCTTCGTAAAAGTAATCGGGAATAGCAGATTTTTAGCGATGGGCCCAATCTTAGATCCATAGTCCAACATTAGAGCCATTTCCCCTATATAGAAACAAACAACTTGGCTCCAACCATCAGTGGGCGCCAGGCCATTACGCTTCCGTCTTATCGGATACCACCCCCTCAACTTTAAATCCTGATAACTCACTGATTGTAGCTCCGCAGAAAATTCCAGCTCCACTCGCAGTATCCACCATTGCTGCCATCATCGGGAACTCGTTCACCAACGTTTCGGTTCCTCCGACTATCTTTTTCTGTGAAAATTTGCTAGCAATTAATTACGCAAGCAATTCCCCCACCACCGCACGAGTTCCTCTCACCTTTCGGCTCATCCCACACTGGCAATTGATCTTGGTTGCCGTACAGTAGAATCGCCCGCCATTGGTCATCGAAGACGCTTGTAACGAAACGACCATCGAACTGCCACTCGATTCCGTCGTCACCGTTCCCGTTCCGCAGTAGGCTTGCCCATCGGAAAGATCCATTTTCCCACCGGTTGAAACCACCAGCTTATCGTAGTAGCAAGATGTGCTCTATTTGTTTGACGAACACACACACAGAAATGGTTCAATATTTGTCAAGTCCGTTCTTCGAAACTTTGTCGGAATTTACCTGTGGTATGTAAACGTCCGGGCAAGATAGCGCTATTCTGGATCCTGGTGTCGTTGTTAGCACCCACCGGCAGTCCGTGTTCGGTGGATAGAGATTCCCATAGTTTGGCGAGTAAATGGCGTAAGTTTGACCGGAATCTATTTGCCTATAATAGTCACATCCGGCCGACTGCGCCAATGCAGCAGGTGGTGTCCTACTGACAATTGCAATCCAGGTCACTGCGGCTGTAAGAGATTGTTAACCGTTAGACTAACTACCATGCGTCTCCTTTGGTTGGTTCAGTTTGCGGGAGCCTCAACACGTGGCAATGAATCTTCAAACAAACTTGAAAACATCATCAAACGAGAGTTCATCAAGGAAGAAATTTCCCTTAATTAACAAACAGAATCAATTATCCCGGGATAGCCGTCATTACCGAAACAAAGTCCTAATTTCATTTTCACTTCCGCCTTGCTCTGCTGGTTTGCTTATCCTACCGTCTTCAAATCGTATTCATAAATCGACAGAAAATCGGAGCCTTTAAGTTGGAATGACTTTCTTGGGGAGGAATTTTGGGACCACACTTTCACTTCCAGTTGTTTCGTTCGAGGGCTATTTTCGCGATTGTCGGTCAAATTTCGTTTTCGTCTTCTTTAATTTAATATTTTTGCCTGGAACTGTAGCGCCGATGCCGACGGTTTAACCTCAACTTCGGGGGGTTCTAAATAAGCTGTGATGAGGAAAATATTTTCGCTCCGCCAAAAAGATGGGGATAATTGCGTCTGTGTTTATGGGCAGTTTGCTTTCCATAGTCTCGGTGGCAGGCGGAGAAGGGTGCTCATCCCGGTCTGCAAATGTTTGTTTTTGAGCGGGAAGCTGGTGTGGAGGAGTTGCGATAAGATTTTGGTTTGTTTTTATCATAGCGCACCATAGGGATGGCAATGAGAATGTCACCAGAATCACCTTCTCTGATTATTAGAATTTAAATAGCATTGATGATCCTTTATCTACCTGGTGCGGATAGTAGGAGTTTTGTGAATATTCATTGGCTCCATGTCAAAAAGCCTATAGCAGATTTTTAGCGATGGGCCCAATCTTAGATCCATAGGCCAGCATTAGAGCCATTTTCCCTATATCTACCAAGTTGTCTAAAATTCTACGAAGTTCCCTGAACTTTTACGAAGGGTTTTGTACTTCCACAAGGTTTCTTGAACATGAACTCAGTTCCAAGAACTTACAACTTCTTAGTAGTTCTCTGAGCTTCTTCGATTTTCAATAGCTTATTCAAATTTTACTAAACTTCTAGGAAGTTCACTGAATTTCTGCCCAGATAGCTGAACTTATACAAATTTTCTAAATCCCATGCAATGTTTGCTGAGCACCTTTTTTTCCTTGATTTGTTTTCCGTCGATCCCACACCTGGACCCTACGACCCATCAACTCATGAACCGGGAACCAACGGCTTTACTTGAGATAATCAGAGATGTTATGCCTCAGAATATCCCGGCTGCGCCGACTGGAATTGAACCCAGGTCTGCTGGGGTGTGTAACCGTTTGTTACAAGATTTGTATGATTTTTAATTTGTGCATAATTTTTAATATACTGTCACGTTTTTATAAGTAATTTGGTATTGTTTAGATGTCACTGAAGTTATCCAGTACCATACCATCCAGCATGTACTAATTTGTAGTACAGGAAGCCATCCAGTACCATACCATCCAGAATGCATCATAAATCAACTATTGCATACTTCACGGCGTAAATGGAGCAATTGTGCTAAATTAACTTTTAAATCAAAATTTACAACCATTAATGATATTACATATAATTTAACCATGTATGGTGGGAAAACCAGTGACAAACCATTCCAGTTATTCACCTAGAATATTCTAGAATATCTAAACAAGACATTTAAACATTAAGACATCATGGCTAATTGTTTTGAAATTGTTTGATTGATTTTTTTTTACTTCAAAGAGGAGTTCTTCAAAGAAATTTTCATATTATTTTACAAATACTTGCTGGATGGGAATACTAGGTCGTATGAATAAAAGCGTTTACTTTACTTTTCCCGTAAGAATAGCACGGGAAAGTAAAGTAAAATCTTTTTATTCATACGGCCCACTGAGTCAAATATAATTAAAGTGATTTATTCAGAGTATTCAGTAATATCTTAAGAAGACATTTGTATACTTTAACATCATGGCTAATTGTTTTGAAATTGTCTGATTGATTTATTTTTACTTCAAAGAGGAGTTCTTCAAGGAAATTTAAAATTTTTTCTGCAAATACTTACTCCTTTTTGAAGTAAAAATAAATCAATCAGACAATTTCAAAACAATTAGCCATGATGTTTAAGTATGCAAATGTCTTCTTAAGATATTACTGAATACTCTGAATAAATCACTTTAATTATATTTGACTCAGTATTCCCATCCAGCAAGTATTTGTAAAATAATATGAAAATTTCTTTGAAGAACTCCTCTTTGAAGTAAAAAAAATCAATCAAACAATTTCAAAACAATTAGCCATGATGTCTTAATGTTTATCTTGTTTAGATATTCTAGAATATTTTAGGTGAAGAGCTGGAATGGTTTGTCACTGGTTTTCCCACCATACATGGTTAAATTATATGTAATATCATTAATGGTTGTAAGTTTTGATTTAAAAGTTAATTTAGCACAATTGCTCCATTTACGCCGTGAAGTATGCAATAGTTGATTTATGATGCATTCTGGATAGTATGGTACTGGATGGCTTCCTGTACTACAAATTAGTACATGCTGGATGGTATGGTACTGGATAACTTCAGTGACATATTGATTAGTAGGATTATTAAAATATTATGTATTGAAATATTGTTAGTAGGGAATTGTTTAAACTTTAAATTGTATAACAGTAAAGTGGGGATAGGTTACAGCACAGTGGGTGTAACTACTGCAAGCAGATGCAGGCGGGAAAATGGAGAAAGGATTTTTTGGATTGGGATATAGGATGGAGGGATGGAAAAGCGAAGGGACAGAGGTCAGATAGCCCACGAACGACCCGCCATTCCTCATAACTATCCAGGCGTTCACGTGTGAACGGTGTTGAACAGTTAAAGTGCTTGAAATAGCCAGTAGTGAGTGGTAATATTCGAGTGTGACAATTTGCTGCACCACCGCACAATTCAGGTAAATAGTTCTCTGCCCAAACTATAGCTAACGGCTGAACTAACGTCCATTCGATACCCTCACAGGAACTTTTGTATTACCGTTTGGTACACACCGCCATTTTGTCCGTTGACAAGATCAACCGACGCGCACGTGATCCGGCTCAGCAGTCTCTAGGGGCCGCTAGGTCTAAAAGCAAAGGAACTAGCCTTCCTCAAGCCAGACCAGAAATAATCGGCTGGAAGGAATTGGTCTCGGGAACCCTCCATAACCGCCAAGGAGACGTTCGCCTCTCGGTAGAGTAACTCCGGCCTTGCCTGGGCTCTGCCGATGTAAGTCTATGAGGGAAGACCCCTGGGAGGACCTATAGTAGTTTCACGCGCCAACGAAACCGCTTCCTCACTCGCCACTCAGCCAACGTAGACTACGATCGCCACACCGAATCTGGCAGAATTCGTAGTACAGAAAGTCCAGCGAGCGTTCGCCCATCGTCGTCGAAGCCGTCCATCTTCAGCATCAGTCATCATCATTAGCAGTACCGGTACGTTTTTAAATAATAAACCACCCACTTTACACCCCCTCTCAAACAAGAGTTGTCCTCAATAAATTGATTCCATCTTGAACCACAGTTGCATTTTTTCCATAACGTTAATCAGGTGACAGTATTCTGCACGTTTGGTCGCGTAGCCCCTCCGATTGCCCAGTAGTAAGCCGACCTTGAGACCCAGCTCGAGAGGTCTCTTGCTATTGAGAACTTACCGGGAACAGACAGTAGAGTTACACTAGTTACAGGTGAGAGGTAATCACGTTTACCACTACACCACCGGTGCTGCTCGTTGAGCACCTAACTCCTTGAAATTTTGTTTTAAACTTCTTTTCAGAACATCTGTGGACTTCTCCGAACAGCTGAACAGCTGGACAGTACCCTGAAATTAAACAGAGTTCTCTAATATTCCACGAAGTTTAAAGAACAGCGGCGCCAGTGGTGTAGTGGTAAGCGTGATTACCTCTCACCCCAGCAGGCCTGGGTTCAATCCCAGTCGGCGCCGCCGGGATGTTCTGAGGCACAACATCTCTGATCACGCCTTCCTTCGGGAGGGAAGTAAAGCCGTTGGTCCCCGGTTCATGAGTTGATGGGTTGATAGGTAGGGTCCAGATGTGGGAGTTGCCTTCCTGGCGTCGGTAGCATTTGTGCTCAGTACGGAAAACAAGATCGACGGAAAACAAATCAAGGAAGTTTATTGAATTTTTTTTTAATGCTACGAAGTTACCTAAACTGATACGAAGATCCCTTAAGTAAGTACTAAGTACTAAGTAGTTGCTGAGCTTTAAGAAAGTTTACCAAGCTTTTAAGAAGTTCCTTGAACTTAAACAACATTCACTGCCGGTCTAGTTTATTGAACTGCTACGCAATTCGCTAAACGTCTACATAGTTAGCTGAACTACTATGAAGTTCATTGTACAACTAAGAAGTTCTCTCCGAGAGGGGCGACTCTATCTACGAGGCAGGAAAAAATGAGTTTTTCTGTGGTTAGCTACGCGCACGCTTAGTAGATAGAAAGAAAATTGATGTCGATTCTTAAGATTTCCTTCAATTAGATGATGCGTGATGCAAGTAGACGCGAGAAAAGAAAAAAGTTTTCGAAGATTGATTCCCTAGTTTGAGATATGTTGAGCATCTAGTATTGAGATTTAGATGTGTCATCCCCCTCGGTTCTTTCTACATTTAAGAATTTCATTGATTTTCTGTGAAGTTCCCTGAAGTTCTACGAAGTTTCCTGAACTTCTATGCATTTTCCGGATGAACTTTCACAGTTATTAATTGAGAGCATTCGATGCCTTTACCATTAGTTAATTGAGCATCAAGTGCAGTCATACCATAGAGGTAACTCTAAGACCAGAAGGTACCGAAGAAACGTGCTCAAATTTTTGGCTCAGCTTTGGTACTATCTTCGGTCCTAAGCTAATCGATGCACCCCTCGAAACATAGGAAAATCCACGAACCCCTCATTTTATCTGTCAAACTTTCATAGCGAATCATAACAAACATTGTGTAGTACTAGAATTTCCACTAGAATGGGGTGCATTAATCGATTTGCTTGGGACCAATAGGCTAGTCAATAGACTGATGCAAAATTTGACTTTTTCGCTCCACAATACTTAAACGATTCCAAATCGGATCCTGACTAACCTCTCAAAATTTGAACCCCTTTGGTGAGAAACTGAGATGGCACAAACCATTTGAAGTTTGTATGGGAATCACTATGGTAAAACCAAGATTTTTGTTCATGTCTATCTAATAATTCACCATATCGGTCTG